GGCGGAAGGAGGGTGCCCGGATGTGCAGTGGTACTGCTCAGTCACGGCGGAAGGAGGGTGTCCGGATGTGCAGTTGGTACTGCTCAGTCACGACGGAAGGAGGGTGCCCGGATGTGCAGTTGTACTGCTCAGACATTGTGGAAGGAGGGTGTCCGAATGTGCAGTAGTACTGCTCAGGCACGGCGGAAGGAGGGTGTCCGGATGTGCAGTAGTACTGCTCGGTCACGGCGGAAGGAGGGTGCCCGGATGTGCAGTTGTACTGCTGAGACATTGTGGAAGGAGGGTGCCCGGAGAACATGGGCAGATGAAGGGGGCCTTCATCCTAGTTTGGGAAGCACTATTCTCAGCAATAGTTACTTAAAAAATTGAGTTTTCAGGTCCTTCAGCCAAGCCTTGTTGAGTGCTTTTCAGGCAGAGGCGGGATAACTGATCTGCTCCGCCTTCTGCCTGCTCTGAGCGTCCTTCCTGTTGCTGAATTGGCAGCAACAACAAGTAGATACCAACTTCTTTTTTGTCATTCATCAGCCTCCTAAAGCTGACTGAACCATAGTCGTCTTCAGGTTTGGGAGTTATTAAACACCCTCCAGGGTGATGGAGATGTTCTAATGCTAGATGATGGTGGTGGGTGCACAGGTTGGCAAATTGACTAAAAGTCACGGACCATGCACTGAAAACAGGTGACTCTTACTGTCTCTAAGTTATACTGCAATCAAGTGGTGTAGAAAAACATGCTTTCCAGTCCTGAGCACAGTATGTTTTTCTGGCCTGGTGGTGCTTTTTGGGCAGCCAGAAACCCTGCTCTGAGTGCTTTGGCTTCCTGGCCAAGCCCTCCAGAGGTCCTGACGTCAGGAACTTGGTACAGCTTGAGGCTCTCACCTGGCTCCCCTCCCCTTGCTCTCCCAGGTGTTGGCGCCTAGCGTGGTTGGAATATTTACCAGGAATGAGCCAAGCCCATTTCGGTTTCTGGCCCAAGGGTAGGTCTCCAGGATCCAGAGGTCAATGTCCAGTTTGGGGCTTATTCAGATCCCGTGACACTTTCCCCCACTCACCCCCAGTCCCCCCGCCATTGCTATTTGGTCAGTTTCATTGCTCTGTTGACACCCAGTTTGCAGGGTGTGTTAGGCCATTGTTGTGTTGTTATAAAGAAATACTGGAGATGGGTAATTTATAAAGAAAAGCAGTTTAGCCGGGCACGATGACTCACACCTGTAATCCCAGCACGTTGGGAGACCTACGCAGGTGGATCGTTTTGAGGTTATGAGTTCAAGACCAACCTGACCAACATAGTGAAACTCCATCTCTAATAAAAATACAAAATTAGCTGAGTATGGTGATGCACAAGCCTGTAATCCCAACTACTCAGGAGGCTGAGGCAGGAGAATCGCTTGAACCCTGGAGGCAGAGGTTGCACTGAGGTGAGATTGCACCACTGCACTCCAGCCTGGGTGACAGAGGAAGACTCTGTCTCAAAAAAAAAGAAAACAAAAGCAGTTTAATTGGCTCATGGTTCTGCAGGCTGTATGGGAAGCATGGTGCCAGCATCTGCTTTGATGGGGCCTCAGGAAGCTTCCAATCATGGCAGAAGGTGATGGGGAACTAGCGTGTCACCTGGCGAGAACAAGAGCAAGAGAGCAAGGCAGCAAGGTCTCAGGCTTTTAAACAGCCAGATCTCACGGGAACTAACTGAGCAAGAACTCACTCATCACCAAGGATGGCGCTAAATCACTCTTCAGGGATCCACACCTGTGATCCATTCCCCTCCCACCAGGCCCCACCTCCAGCATTAGGAATCACATTTCAACATGAGATTTGGAGGGGACAGGCATCCAAACCGTTTCACAGGGCAAGCAGGGAACTTTGGTGAAACTTCAGTCTCGTGTTCCATCTGAAGTAGGAGAGGAGGTTGCACCTGTGGTTGAAGAGTGACTTCAGTTGTCTATGCACTCTAGCCTTTTACTTTCTTTCTACTATTTTCTTCCTAAAATTATCTACATGATTGGAAATCAGGTAACACACTTTCCCTGCTTTTGTCCCAAATGCCTTTTATGTGTTGGATTGCAGTGGTAGAGAGCAAGTTTGTTTCAATATTTGATTGTTAGAGCAGTGGCTTCCATGATGGTGAAGGTCTTGTCTGCCCTCACTGCCACGTGTCAGCTCTTGTCACATACCAGTTTGTTTGTACACAGATTTGCTGTTGCCAACGGGGCTGGAAGCTTACTGTGCCCCGTGGGTTAAGTTGCCCTGAGGAAGGAAGGTCACAGCACTGTGCTGTTGTGGGCATGTTCATCTGTCATCTTGCGGTAATATATATGAAATATATATGAAAATATATATGAGGACAGCTGCTGTCCTCATACTGTGGCTTGAGGTGCTCTGGGGCTGCTGGTTGGATGTCTTCTGAAATACTGTACAGGGTTGCTTAATTAAGGCAAAATCTGTATGTCCATGGTGTTTAGCACAGGTTGAGTATCTCTTCGGAAATGCTTGGCACAGATATGCTTTGGATTTCAGATTTTTTCAGATTTTGGACTATTTGCATTATACCTACCAGTTGCACATCCCTAATTTGAAAATCTAAAATCAGAAGTGCCCCATTCAGTGTTTCCTTTGAGTGTCATGTTGATGCTCAAAAACATTCAGATTTTGGAATTTTCCAATTTTGGATTTCCAGATTTGAGATGCCCAACCTGTATCTAGACCAAGTATTTATTTTAGTTGAACAGAGTACATTGGCTTTTCCTTGCCCCAGTGAGCGGTATTTCTCAAGGTGGTATGTTTAATCTGTGCCTGAATTGATTGAGGGGTGAGACCTGCCTGATCAACTGGCTGTGCCTGGTGAGTTGGGCTCCTGAGTGTGGTGCTTGGCCGTAGACACAGAGCTGTCCAGGATTTGTGAGAGGGCTCACGGTGTCCTTTGGTAGCCTTCCCATAAGGATGGTGCTATGGTTTGGCTTTGTTCCCACCCAAATCTCATACTGAATTGTAGCTCCCATAATCCCCACATGTCATGGGAAGGGACTCCATGAGAGGTAATTGAATCATGGAGGTGCTTACATCCATGCTTTTCTTGTGAGAATGAGTGAGTTCTCACGAGATCTGATGGTTTGTTTTTTTGTTTGTATTTTGAGAAGGAGTCTTGCTCTGTTACCAGGCTGGAGTGCAGTGGCATGAATCTTGGCCCACTGCAGTCTCCACCTCCTGGGATCAAGTGATCCTCCTGCCTCAGCCTCCCAAGTAGCTGGGACTGCAGTCGTGTGCCACCACACCTGGCTAATTTCTGTATTTTTAGTAGAGATGGGTTTCACCATGTTAGCCAGGATGCTCTCAATCTCTTGACCTCGTGATCCACCTACCTTGGCCTCCCAAGGTGGTGGGATTACAGGCATGAGCCACTGCACCCAGCCCCGATCTGATGGTTTTATAAGGGGCTTTTCTCCCCCTTCACTCTGCATTTCTCCTTGTTGCCACCATGTGAAGAAGGACCTGTTTGCTTCCCCTTCCACCATGATTGTAAGTTTCCTGAGGCCTCCCCAGCCATGCTGAACTGCGAGTCAATTAAACCTCTTTCCATTATAAATTACCCAGTCTCAGATATGTCTTTAATAGCAGCATGAGAACGGACTAATACCGATGGCTTCCCTGGAGTTAGACTCTTGTAAGCTGCAGTTGGTGAGAGGGTCACAGCAGTAACACATTCTAACATCCCTTAGGGGACACCTGGAATGGTTCAGATTTTAGGTTTCAGTCCTTGGAGCAAGCCAAAGAATATGTATCCCAGAGCCAGCAGGCCAGTGAGCAGTCGTCCTGTGCCTGCGGCAGTCTAGACAAGAGCTTTAGAAAACCAAGGGGTGGGCAAAGCCCAGCTCAGAGCCCGAGACTGCCACTGGGCCCCAGCAGGTCCCAGAAGGTGGCCTGGGCCTTTTGGCCATCAGGTGCTGGCATCTTAGGCCAGGGTAGGTGTAGAATGGAGCTGGTAGGCCCCTCTGGCTCTACACTGGCCAATGTCATTGGTGCTGAATTGAGTAAGGATTAATAAGTCTTCTGTTAAAAAAAAAAAAGTGGTAGGTTGCTGGCTTGGAGCCCAGAGCAGTTGGAATTTTGGAGCCCAAAGAGGTCATGGCAATTGGTTTTTGGCAACTGGTCTTTGGGAGAAAAGAAACCACAGTTTTGGCCATAGTTCAATATGCCCTAGGCAGGGTTGGGTCACCCCTAGGACAGGGGGTACATAAGTGGGGAGAAGTTGTGGGCTGTGGACTTTGAAGGCCCTTCCTGAGCTTGGGGAATTTGCAGTGATCCTGGAGCAGAGAAAGCAAGCTTGTTACTCACTTTCCCTGAATGTTTCATTTCCAGCCAGGTGGGTCTCCTTCCCATAGAGGTGGTGTGATTAGAGAAGTAGCTGGCAGAGTCGTCTCAGAGCTCAGTGGGAGTCAGCAGAGGGAGAGGTCCGGCCTGGAGAAGCATCTGATCCACTAATAAATTGCACCTAAATCCCACACTCTTAAGCTAATTTCAGGGGAAAAGACATTCTACTCAGCTGGTTTTGGGTCAGTTGTCTAGATTTATTTCTGCTTTGGAGAGCACAACTGAAATTTTCTCCATGAAAATAGTTGAAGAAAACCGTGGCCTTGGAGCTAGCTAGCCCCCATTCCCTTCTGTGGCTTGGAACCAAGACACACTGCTTGGGTTTGAGCCCGCAGAGGAACCTCGTTGGAGAATAACGACCCTGCTACGATGCACTGCGTTCACCATGCCTGCACCCTAGTGCCTACACTTGAACCTGGTTTCTTCTTTCCCGAGCCATTGGCATCTCTCAGAAGCCTGTGGGGCAGGAGTCTTCCCTTCAACTTGTCTAACCCTTGGGAGCGTCAGCATCACAATGCCAGTGATTTAGTGTCTGAAGAAGGTAAGCATCATCCTGGAATGTGAACAGAAACCAACAGCCCTGAGACTTTAGGCCCTTATGCCGCAGGTGAGCCTTCTGTTTATCTTTGCCCTTGTTTCCTGGCATCTGCCAGCATCTGCACTTACGTGCAAGCATGAACGTGAATTCCTCTACCTAACCAGAGCCAAACACAAATGGGCAGGCAGTTGTGGACTTAATTCCGGAGCAAGTGAGGAATGTTGAAGGGGAGGCTGGCACTCAGGTGGGAGGGAACACAGGGAAAAAGGTGATTGGCTGCCTGGGGCTGGGGTAGGCGGGGTCGCTGCAGTGAAGTCCGCAATGCTGAGCTGCAGTCTCAAATGGAGGAGGGGCACTGTGGGCAGAGGTGAGGAGGCGGCGGAGGGAGGTGAGGAACGTGTGAGAGCCTGGTGCATCCCGGGAACCTGAGAGAATGGGTTGCATCTATTAATAGTGGTGACAGAAGTGGATTGTTTCCTAGTGTCACTGGAGGCTGAAACGGGTCACATTGGCTCTTATGAAAGACCCCTCTGGCACTCGTGGAGGATGTATTGGAGCAAGTTATGATTAAGGGGCAGCTGGCTGAGCGCAGTGGCTCAGTCTGTAATCCCAGCACCTTGGGAGGCCAAGGTTGGTGGATTACTTGAGGCCAGGAATTTCGTTGTGGGCGAAATGTGAGGGAGTCAGCTTTGTGGTCATCTTAGGTAGGAGCCGGAATGGAAAGTGGGTTCGCTTGGCCCAATTCCCAGCTTGGCTTTTTCCTCTGGGATAAAAGCCTCTGGTGAGTTTGGGGTGCCAAGATTCATTTTCCTTTCACACTAGGAATCTCCGGGCTTCTACCAGGATCATGCTAGGGAGATGAACGTTCTGGAGTTAGAACCAACAGATTGGGTTGAGGAATGGGGAACAGAGGAGGGTCTGAGATGACCACAGATTGCCATTTGATGGGTTAGGGTTTGACTCTTTGGGGTGGACTCCTTGGGAAGAGGCACCTGTGTGATGGTAAATGGGGGTGTTCGGTAGCTTTGGCTCTCCAGAGCAAGTCAGAATGATCAAAATCCAGGGCTATCCAATTTTACCAGAGCAGCAGATGAAAGAATCGCAGCTGAGAGACTGGAGGCTGGCGAGGAGAGTAGGCAGAAGCCGAGGCTTAGCGCAGCCAGGGAGGGCGGTTCCAGGAAGCACGGCAGCCAGAGGGTGAGCCAGATAGGACTGGAACGCGTCTGAGCCCATCTCACTTGAACGCCACCGTCGCCGTCAGTGGAGTGTTGGAGACAGAGGCCAGATTGGAGAGGGAGTAAAAAGATGACTGGAATAGGGCCATTAGCAGGGTGGGGACAGGCTGGAGGAACCAGTGGGGGTACTGTAGAAGGCAGTGTTGGGGCCTTCCCCGTGGGTGGAGGTGACAGGCAGGTGCAGCCACATCGGTCCTCACTTTGGGGACTTGGAGAAATGTCCCACCCCCATCCCACTCCCAAGGCTGGCGTTTCACGTGCAGCTTTCCCTCTCAACCTGCCTCCCCTGCCGCCCAGCAAGTGTGAAATGCACAGAAACCCTTTGAGTCCTCTGTCCTCCTGCCTCAAATGAAGAAATGCTGCCTTGTCTGACCCCTAGGCTTGTGGCAGCTTCGTGGCTTTCTCATGTAGATGTTAGCCATACAGGCAACTTGGAATCAGAAATGTTATGGGTCCTTCACTCGCCTCTGGGGAAGCGGGTTGGGGCTGCTGCGTAGCATTTGCTGACACACGGTTCTTTTCTAGAAACCAGTTTCTTTTTATAGGGGATAGTTACACGGAAAGTATTTGGCTGTTGAAACAAAGCTGCCTCCAGGTCCTGGCCCCTGACACGCTCTCTCCTGCTGCAAGAACAGGTCCTGAGCTGGCTGTGGGGCCTGCTGGGCAGAGCCTGTGGGAGCCAGGTGCAGGGCTGGTCGTTGTCATGGGAAAAGGGCAGGTCTCCAGGGGAGGATCTTCCCTCATGGGCAGAAGCCATCTGGACTTCCCTTGTCGGGCTCCCGATCTCTGTGACTCCCAGCTTGGTGGCACTGCCTGAAAACACACAGTTCATTTTCATTTGATATAACTTCTGTCTCATATCCTAACACAGTGCTGCCTGGAGAAGTTCATGTACATAGCTATTTGTTCATCAAGTGGCCCTCACTGTGCACCACCTGTTGTGGTCCAGGGACTGTTCTCTGTGCAAGGACAAAACCCTGAACAAAATGGCAAAAATCCTCACCCTCCTGGAGCTTACATTGTAGCAGGAAGATAGATTGTAAGTAGATAACATTTAGAGGTCCAGTGCGGTAGCTCACCCTGATAATCCCAGCGGGAGGCCAAGGCAAGAGGATTGCTTCAAGCCCAGGAGTTGGAGACTAGCCTGGGCAACATGGTAAGACCCCATCTGTACAAATAAAAGCAATCAGCTGAGCTTGGTGGTATGCGCCTGTGGTCCCCGCTACTCAGGAGGCTGAGGCAGGAGCATCACCTGGGCCCAGGAAGCCGCAGTGAGCTCTGATTATGCCACTGCACTCCAAGCTGAGCAACAGAGTGCGTCCCTGTCTCAAAAAATAAAACCACACAAAACAAAAACATTTGGAGCACGTCCAGTTGTGGTAAATACTTTGGAGAAAACCAGGGAAAGACGATGAGCAGGTTTAAACGGAGTGGCCAGGGAAGTCCACCTCGAGAAGTTCACATTTGAATATATGTGTCAGCTCCATGAGAAGGCTCATGCCCTGGAAGTCGGAGCTTGTTTTTCTCTGTTCACTCTGTGTTATTTCTGGAGTGTAGAAGAGTGCTCGGGCCGTAAGAGACGCTCAGTAATACTCTTGAGTGAATGGATGGGAGGGAAGAGCATTTTTAGATACATGGAGCTGCAGATGCGAAGGCTGACGTGAGAGGGTGTCTGCTAGGTGGGGAACGTGGGAGGCGGTGCGGCCGGCGGGGATGGGAGAGACTGGCGGCAGGAAAGGAGGCAGCAGAGGGAAGGCGTGTGTGTGTGTGGGCGCAGGTCTCGTGGGGGTTGCACGAGGTCAGAACTGTTTTTGTGACAATACTGAGTGGTATTACGTGCCTTCTCCGCCCTCGTTTGCCCAGGTGTGTACAGTGGGCTTTCTAGAGGCTTCGCAGGCAGGAGAATCTGGCTGCCAGCCGCTAAAGAGATTTGCAGAAATGTAGAGCACTGTCACGCTTCTCACTAAATTTCTGTCGGAGAGTAATTGTTGTGGGTGTTGGTTTTTTTTGTAAGATATGTTACTTATTGTTATTTTAAAGTGAATTAATGTTGACATGTTTTCTGAGTTTTAATTTTACATTTAGTAAATCTTGATAGGTCTTTGGGTCCTCAATTTTTTTTTTTTTTTAAGAAATGGTCTCTCTCTGTCCCCTAGGCTAGAGTGCAATGGCACGATGGTAGCTCACTGCAGCCTGGAACTCTGGTCCTCGGTAGCTTTGAAGTGCATAAAGGAGTCCTGAGACCAAAATGTCGATGACACGTTTATAGGGCCTTGTAGGCCATTATTTTGTATTTGCTTTTATACTGGCTGAGATGGGAAGTCATGGCTGAATCAGCCGAGGAAATTTAGTGAAAACATTTTACCAATTCCTGATTTGCCCTTGAGGACAAACAGGTGCATCCAGGAGGGCGGCATGCTGTGGACGGGCACCTCGGCGGGAGAAGGCTCTGGAGTCACTGTGGCTCATGCTTCACTCCCTTCTCATAGCTGGGCTTACCTCTGCCAGGGGAGATAGAGGGAAGGGACGTGCTGTGTACACGGTGTCCACAGGATGCAGGTCGAGAGTGATAGGGCAGGGGCAGGGTGTTCTTCCCTGGGTGTGATCAGCAGAGCTGTCTCTGATAAGGTGAGCGAAGACCTGAAGAGCCAGGGCCAGGGCAGCCCTGGCCGGGGAGGCCTTGGTGAGCAGGAGGAGGACGTCTGACTGGGCCTAAGGAGTGTTGGGGAGAGTGGCAGGACCTGACCTGTGGCTGGGGTGTAGCAGTCACGTGTCTGACGTGTGTTTTAAATGGATGCTCTGGCTGTGTTGTAGAATATTTTGGGGGTGGGTTGGAGGGAGGAGAAGTAGGGAGGCTCACTAAGTGAGCAGGTGAGAGCTGGTGGTGTCTTACAAGGATCATAGAGAAGACACGTGAGAAGTGGTTGGATTTGGCTGTATTTGAAGGTAGAACACAGTTTTCTGAAGAACGGACTGTGGGCTGTGACAGAAATGCAGATGGGCAGGGTTTTGGGTTGAGCATCTAGGCAGCTGGTGGTACTGTCTACCGAGATGCAGGTCACCAGGGAAGGACAGGCTCTGGCTAGTGGCAGTGGGAGTGTCACCTCAAGTGCTTTAAGTTTGAGATGCTTGTAAAACATCCAGGTAGAAATGTCACAAGCAATTGGTCACAAAAGTGCAGGAGTGAGGAAATAAATATTAAGGCACCATTATCTATCAGTCCTGTGTGGATAAAGCCATGGGGCGGGAGGATCCTCCACGGCACAGCTTTCGCGGTGGCTGGTTTCTCCTTAGTGGGTCATGAAGGCAATACAGTGAGCACCAGCAGTTTTCAAAAAATGAAATAGAATTGAAAACAATATCTCAGTAGTAAAGGCTGTTGTAAAATGTTTACTTTTATGCTGACTGATATGAGAATTTTGTCCTGTGAAATGTTTTTAAAATTACATTTATGTAAAAAGAGAGATAGCTGTGTCTTAGATCACAGTACAGAACATTTTTTTTAACTGTAGATCATAGTTTAAGAAGTTCGAAAGCCACTGATGTAGAAGGAGATACAGCTTGAAAAGAGATCAAAGACTGAGTCGATTTCAAGGCTGTGTCAACATGCAGAGGCTGGGGATGGGTCTGGGACAGCAAAAGATGCAGAGAGGGGCTATGAGGTCACAGCAGGACCCAGAGAAGAGTGCCCTTTTGCCTTGGAGACCAGTGGGGTGGGGAGGGGAGGTGAGCTGTGACTTGTGACCAGACAGATTGAGGAAAAGGAGAATTGAGAACCGATCGTTGGATTGGACAGCATGGAAATCATTCATGACCTTGATGAGACATTTCTGTGGGGGTGCTGAGGACAAGGTCTACTTGTTGGAGGTTCAAAGATAGTGGGAGAAGAGAAGGTTGTGAACAAAGCATTTCAGTGAGTCTTGCTGCCAGGGGGAGCAGAGGGAGTTAGTTGCAGGGGGTGAAGTCAGGACTGGGTGTTGAAAGACGTGTCCTTGCTGAAGACAGCTCAGTGGGGTGAGGGAGCATCACTGCAGGGAAGGGCGCCGTGTGGAGGCAGTGTGGGCGAGGGAGCATCACTTGCAGGGAAGGGCGCAGTGTGGAGGCAGCATGCTTGAGTAAGAGCAGGATCAGAGGCACAGGTGGATGCTGCTCTCTGTCGTTGGAGAGAAGGTGGATGCTGCTCTCTGTCGTTGGAGGGAAGGCGGATGGCATGGGCAGAGA